ATGAATGAGAGAGATTGCCAAGAGTGGGGGAAATTCAGTTTCCTGATTTGTCAAATCGACAGTGATCTTTACCCTTTCGAGGGCTATCTGAGCGTTGGACAGAGCCACTGGAAGTACAAGGTCTCCGACAGCTAGGTTTCTGCTTGGGGGCACATGGCCCACCCCTGCCAGTCTCAGTAAACCATCAGACCAAAAGCACACACTGTCCTCCTGTCCAACCCCGCGGTACCCGATGTCTGAGGGCAGTGGGTCTCCAGCCTGCATGCATCAGAATTACCTGGAAGACCTTTTAAAAGATTCTGTGTCCCTGGGAACCAGCAGTTAGCGTAATGGCTATGTCGCTGGACTCCCACGTAGTCGACCGCGGTTCGTGTCCCGGACTCAGTGGCTTAAAACTCACGCCGGGCGCGTGTGCGTGCGTGCCCAAGATCCCGAGAGGAGAATGGAGGAGAAGGGATTGCGGCGTGACCATCCCCCAGGGGGGTGATTTCTCGCTTTCTGTCTCTATGTCTCTCTCTGTCTGTCTGGCGAGCGCACGCGCCCTATAGCAAAAACCTCTCAAAAAAAAAAAAAAAAGATTCTGTGTCTTAATCCTAGAGTTTTTGTGACACTCTGGATGGGGCCAGGAATCTACAGGTGGAGCGAATTCCTCGACGATGCTGATGCTGCTACACTTGCAACTCAGACACCAGCTATCCGGGATGCGACTGTCATTAATAATTTTCACCTTCCAGGGGCTAGCCATTGGCATAATGGATATGTCACTGGACTCCCATGTAGTTGACTGCGGTTCAAGTCTTGGACCTGGTGGCTTAAAGTTCATGCTGGGGGGTCAGCAGGTGGTGTGATGATTGAGGCACTGGACTTGCTACATGACCAACCACAGTTCAAGTTCCAGACCTGGCAGCTTGCTTTCTCTCTCTCTGCCTTTTTCTGGTGAACTCGTGTGGGAAAAAAAAAGGAATGAATAAATAATAATTCTTTTTTTTTTGGAGATGTTTTTGCCATATAGTGTGTGCACTTGCCAGAAAGCAGAGAGACAGAGAGACAGAAAGCGAGAAATCACCCCCCAGGGGGGATGGCCATGCTGCAGACCCTTCTCCACTCTCCTTGGGGTCTTAGGTATGCACGCACACATGCCCAGCATGAGTTTAAGCCACTGGGTCCAGGACTCTAACCGCGGTTGGCTACATGGGAGTCCAGTGACATAGCCATTATGCTAACTGCTGGTTCCATAAATAATTCTTTATAAAAAAAACAGACTAATGCTAGGCATGTATGTGTGCATGTGCACCCAAGGTCTCGAGAGAAGAATGGAAGAGAAGGGATTGTGGCCACCCCATCAGGGGTGATTTCTTGCTTTCTGTCTCCTTGTCTCCATTTCTCCAGAAAGCACACACACCTTATAGCAAAAATCTTTCTCAAAAAAGTTTTCACCTTCTGTTTATGTATTTTATAAATAAGAGTATTATCTGTCCATACCTCAAGTGTCCTAACATAGGATCTTAAGTATTAAAATAAAGCATATCATTTCATTTTTTTATTAGATTTTTGCTAAAGGGCACTTGCGCTCACTGGAGAGACAGAGACAGACAGACACAAAGTGAGAAATCATCCCCTAGTAGGAATGGCCACACCACAATCCCTTCTCCTCCATTCTCCTCTCGGAATTTTGGGCATGCATGTACATGCGCCTGGCATGAGTTTAAGCCACTGGGTCCAGGACTTGAACCATCATCAACTATGTAGGAGTCCAGTGACATAACCATTTCACCACTTGCTAGTCCCAAAACATCTCATTTTATTTATATACGTGTGTATGTGTGTGTGTGTGTGTATGTGTTATGGCTATATGTTATATATATGTTATAGACGTATATACCATATAGCTATTATATATATTATAAAATATACACTTATAAATATAAATTCCATCATCAGAGCCCTAGACTTTTCTTTGTCTCCCCCCTGCAAATGAGCAAACACCTCCCACAAGGAAGTCTCATCACAATCCTTTCTCCACTTTTTCCCTTTTTTGGGGGTTTGGGCTCACATGCACCTGCCTCTCCTGTTCCTCAGGCTGCCAGCTCCAGGACCTGACCCATGCAGCCAGCCGTGTGGATCCAGCTGCCCTCGCCACCATGTCACAGACTGACCTGAGGGCCCCATTCTTAGGACCCTTTTAAGCCTAGTTTTCCCCCAAAGCCCATCTGTACATGCTGTGACATTGGGTGTTAGGGTTTCAGCATACGGACTTTGTGGAGCACGGCTTGGGCATAGCAACCTCGTACAGCACCACCTTTTGTATCTGTTTGATCACACATGGAAAAGCAAACAAACAAAACAAAACAAAAAATATTGCTTTACCTGCACCAGGACTTAGTCTTTTATCTGTGTCTCCTGGGTCTTCTGACTTACTACTGCCCAGGTCGTCTTCAGAGGCTTCTCCAGTGCTGACTGAGAGAACATAAGGGAGAGCGTGTGGTTTGTTTTTTATAGTCACTTTCAGAATTTTGTTTTAATTCAAATAGATTAGGTTTTTTCTTTTAGAGTTTTCCAGGTATTAAGTGTGATTGTTCATCTTGTTTTATCATTTAGATTCTTCTCCCTGAAGCACCTTTTTGTCATTGGACACATGTTTCATCAGGGGGGAGAGAGAGAGAGAGAAAATGAGAAATAACCCCCCAGGGGGATGACCATGCAGTCTCGGATTTTGGGCACACACTCTCAGGTACCCAGTGTGATTTTCAGTCTGCTGGGTTTGGGGCTCTAACCATGGTCAGCCACAGGGGAGTCGAGCTCCTGAATGGCTACACCACCTGCTGGTCCCCTGCAGCACCTCTGTGTCCCAGGTCACTATAGATTTTGGATATATATATATGTGTATATCCAGTATTTTCAGCTACATCTCTGGCGATGACCGTGGGAACCTCTAGTGCCACTGCTACTGTGCACTTGTCTCCGGTCATCTCGCATTTTAATTCTGCTGGGGACAGATGTGTAGTTCTCCAGCATCACTGTTTATTTCCTGTCTACCAGCTGCTACTTTTCAATCTTTGGATCATTGCCCTCTCTCTTCCCTAGACACACACTCACACTCTTAGAATTAGGACTGACTCTGGGGGCCCGCAGATGGCGTGGTGGTTACAGCACTGGACTCCCACATGGTCAAGTGTGGTTCAAGTCCCAGACCCAGTGGTTTGAAAATCATGCCAGGTGTGATTTTGTGCATGTGTGCCCCAAATCCCAAGAGGAGAATGAAGAAGGGATTGCAGTGTAGCCATGCCCCTAGTGGGTGACGTCTCGCTTTTCCTCTCTCTGACTCTGTCTCCCTCATGTGCCCTATGGCAAAAACCTTAAAAAAAAAAAAAAAAAAAAAAGTTAGGACTGAATCATTTAGGTCAAGCAACAAACTCTAGAAACATTGTGGTAAGTTGAGGTCTCCAAGACCATCTTGTCCTGTCTCCCCATTGTAAGAGTGAGGTCGAGTCTTGTTTGCTTCGAGATTTCACAGGACTTGAATTTCCTGACTCCCGGTCTAGAACTCATTCCGGATATTATGTACTATTGTGTATTTGGGTGACTATATTGTATCTCAATATTTTCAGCTACATTTATGTTAAAGAACTTACCATGTGTCCCAGAAAAACTTAGCGCTTCCAAAACATTCTCATGGATTTTGTATTTCCTAAGTTTTTCAGTGCTCTTTTTTCTATTTACTTAGAAAATAGTCTGAGAACTTATTTTAACATGCATTATGAGGTTTTGTATTCGCTTTATGTCCTTATTTATTAATAAAAACTTTGCCAGAGGGTGCCTGCATTTGTGAGGGGAGGATGAGAAAGCTGCAGAGCATGGTCCCGCCCCAGCCTCTCCTCTTCCACTCTCCTCTTGGGATTTTGAGCATGTGTGCATACATGTGTGGCATGTTTTTCAACTGATCAGGGCAGGACTCCAGCCACACAGCTGGCCGTGTGGGATCCAGCTGCCTTAACCACCGTGCCACCAGCTGGCCCACGTTTACTTTATTAAAATTGGTCAATTTGGGGGACCAGCAGCTGGCATAATGGCTATGTCACTAGACTCCAGTGTAGTTGACCACAGTTCAAGTCCCAGACCCAGCAGCTTAAACTCATGCCGGGCATGTGTTCGTGTGTGCCCAAGGTCCCAAGAGGAGAAGGGATTGCGGCATGGCCATCCCAACTGGGGGGTGATTTCTCGCTTTCCATCTCTCTGTCTCTCTCTGTCTTTCTGGCAAGCACATGTGCCCTATAGCAAAAAACAAAACAAACAAACAAACAAAACAAAAAACAAAAAAAAAACTCTCAAAAAAAAATTGGTCATTTTTGAGCTGGCTCCAAGACATAGCAGTAATGCACTTCTCAAAGAGAAGTCAGATCCCATGTAGGTGCCATGGGGTGAATGAAGCTCTGGTCCAGTCAGCTTGAAAACATGACTGCCACATGTGCATGGGGCCAAGAACCAGTGGGCTGGCGGACTGAGAAAAGGTGATAAGAACATGACCAGACCTTATGGAGGGTTCTTTCTCTCTCTCTCTTTCTCTCTGTCTCATGCACATGCTCTGTCATATGTAAAGAAATAAAAAAATTTAATGTATCAGTTGTAAATTATTCTGGAGGCCCAATTTTATTATTTTTTTTTTAGGTTATTTTGTATTGTTCCCCCACACACTAGGGCATGTGCACTCACCAGAGAGACAGAAAGTGAGAAATCACTCCCCAGGGGAAATGGCCATGCCACCGTTCCTTCTCTTCCATTCTTATCTTGGGATTTGGGGCATGCACACACATGTGCTCGACATGAGTTTCAGGGCTCCAGGTCTGGGACTCGAACCACACTTGAGTACATGAGAGTCCAGTGCTTTAACCACTATGCCTCCTGTTGGCCCCTGTATGTATTCTTAGGTTCTGCAGGAGATCACATTATACATTAAGACTGTTTCATGATGAATTCAACACCATCTTGTTGAACAGCGTTTACTGAAACCTACACGTGGGCGTATGTTCGTTTTATGTTACTGAACACGACCTCTGTGCTGCAACCTGGGACTTGACGAGTCCTCTCCTTCACCTTCCTACCTGTCTGGTCCGCTTCCGTTTTCACATCGGCACATTCTGTGGCCTGTTCTCCACCTTGGGGTTCCTGTTGTGGTTTTTCTGTTCTGTTGTGTCCCAGAATAGAGTCCAACTCTGTAAAAAATTTCATGCTCTTGGTTATGCCCAGATCTCGAGCGGTCCTTACGCTCTTGTATTCGTGTTTGAGGTTTTTGTACTTCGTTCTGCACTGCTTCCAGTCTCTCTCTACCCCACAGTTCTGGAGCTTGGCAGCGATTTGTTCAAATATCCTTTTATTGCGCACCGTTCCCTCCAGCTGCTGCCGTACGCATTTGTCAGACCAGATGCTGATCAGAGCCCTGACCTCTGGCACGGTCCAGTGTTTGCCTCCTTCGTTGACTGCAGTTGGAATGAAAGTTGAATTGCCCGGGGCTTCCATTACAGAAGGAGAGATACCTGCACCACAGAGGGAGAGGAGAGGGACACAAGAATCACATACAGCACACAAGATAAATAATTAGATGCGACTTTGCTAAAGAAAGTGAATTTTTCCATAGGGAAGAAAGCAAGTCACAGCTTAGCTTTTCTCTTAAACCATTGGGGAAATGACATGAGTTTGTCCATTATCTATCACAGTGTGACTAACTTACAGTTGTGTTTTTAATTTTTTTCTTTAGTTTTTATTATAGGGCACATACACGCTCCAGAGGGACAGAGGGAGAAAGTGAGAAATCTCCCCTCAGGGAGGATGGCCATGCTGCAGTTTCTTCTCCGTTCTCCTCTCGGGATTTTGGGTAGGCATGCGTACTTGCCCAGTGTGATTTTAAAGCTGCTAGGTCCTGGACTCAAATCCTAGAGTCGGTTATATGGGGTCCAACCACCTTAACCTCCATGCCACCCACTGGCCAACTAGTCACACTTAGATCCTTTTTCTTCTGTATTTTTCCCCCTTTCTCGTCCCACTCCTTCAGTATGTGGGGTCTATGTCAGTAGCTTGTGCCAGCTAAATATCGTGTGAGCGCATCATTTCATAATGCACGTAAGTCAGTAATGTGATCACAAAAGAAAATGCCTCACTGTAGGTCGTTTTTGAGATAGAACACATAGGGACAATTGAGCTCATTTCTCTTTTTTCTTTTTTTTTTTTTTTTAAGAATCATTTTATTTAACTTTATTTAGAACACAATTTTTAAATTAAGAACAAATTTGGTAATAGAGACAGGGTCTCACTGTGTTTCCCAGACTGGCCTCAAACTTGTGAATCTCCTGCCTTAGCTGCCTGTGTACCTGGGATCCAGGTGTGCGCCACCACACCCGCCCCAAAGGCCCTTATTTATTTTATTTATTTTAGTAATTATTTTATTTCACTTTTTTTTTTTTTTTTTTTAATTTCAATTTGACCAGAGAGGGACAGAGAGAGAGAGAGAACACACTACCAGGTCCAGGACTCAAACTGTGCTCTGCATATGGGAGTCCAGCACCCTTAACGACCATACCACCTGCCAGCCCCCACCCCCAGTGCCCTTTTAAACTAAGTACTATGTTCTGTTAATGATAGTAGAATGTGTCAGAAGTTTCACAGTGCCTTGATCCTCGGGCCAGTGTCTCCACACCCTGTAACATGCCATGGTGCCTTCATGTTAGGTCTGTAACACAGCTTTGCAGCTCGTTGTATGTTAGTGACATTACTTGGCATTGTGGTTGACATTATATTTGTTGTCTTAATATTATCTTGTGTTTTTTGATTTTTGCCACCCCCCTCTCCCCCCAGATTATTTGCTTTAGAAATGATATTGTTTGGGGCCAGCAGGTGGCTTGGTGGTTAAGGCCCCGGAATCCCACATGGCCAAGGATGATTTGAGTTCTGGACCTGGTGGCTTGCAAGCTGGGTGCCTGTGTGTCCAAAATCTTAAAAGGAAAATGGAGAACAGAGTGTAGCATGGCCAACCCTGCTGGGAGTGGGGGTGTGATTTCTCCTTTTCCTCTCTCTCTCTCTCTCTCTCTATTTCTCTTTCCAGCCAATGTATGTGCCCATGGCCAAAAAAAAGAAGAAAAAAATCAGTTTAAATTAGATCAGTTTCACTATATTTTGGGGCCATTATACCATACCTAGTTCTATTGGTCTAACACGAGAAACCAAAAGTAAAGGATTTCCTGAGATGTCTTCCTTATCATCTAATGCAGTTGATAATTTACCTGGAAAGAGAACAGAATAACATTTAGAAATAAGGATAATGTTTATTTTTCAGATACTTATTTTTTGTAATTTCCAGATTTTTTTTCTAATGCTGTTTTACTGTGTAACAGAAATAGGGCTATATTGCACATTAAGAGATCAAATGTGAGATGTGATTTTTAATGGCATAAACACTCATTGAAAATTATGATTCATACTGTATCTAGAAACATTTCCACTGAAGAAAAAGTGTTTTGATCATCTCAAAATTATGATTTTATTTATTTATTTTTAAGCAGCTTTAGCCTTAGGGCGCTTGCATTCACTAGAGGGAGAGAGACAGAGACAGTGAGAGGGAAAGTGAGAAATCACCCCTCTAGGGGGATGGCCACACCACAATCCCTTCACTTCAATTCTCCCAGGAGCTTGGGCATGCACGCAATGCCCAGTATGATTTTCCGGTACTTGAACTGCAGTCGGCCACGTGGGAGTCTAGCAACATAACTGCTATGCCATTTGGTGGCTCCAAGATTTTATTTTAATTAAGCTTCCTATATTAAAATAAAGCAAATGAACAAGGAGTATGGGAAATACAGAGAAAAGAAAACTTTTCAAATGGTGTAATTGTATTTTTCAACTCTGAAAGTAAAAATGTTCAGTTGTAAATCAGGTTTCATAATTAGTTGAAGCTAAATTGTAGTTAAGGACTGTTTTAGATTTACCTGGGTATATGAAAGGTAAAAATCTGGGGTTGCACAAGAACTCTCTGTAGAGAAAGGTCAAAGAACTAATCATGTGACCAAATCATTCAACACTTGATACTGTGTGCGAATGCAGGTAAGGAAAAGGAGGGAGTCCTGTTTTAGTATCTGGCTTCCTAGTTTTACTGCTAGGAAGTAGTATTTATTTATTTATTTTATTTTTATTTTTGAAACAAAAAGTTTACTAGTAACCCAAAAATCCGTACAAGTTAAAACACAAACACTCTACATGATTTATTTATAGCATTAAAAAAAAAAAGCCTATTGCTTTAGGTTCGACTAGTCTTACACCTGCAATTTTTGAAAGTTTCAAAGGGCATTATATTATATGAAATCTCAAATTTTCCCCTGCCCCCACAGGCATAGGTTGAGAAGGCTGACGTGAACACGCAGGCTTGAGTTAGAGTGAGAACACCCTTGGAAACAGGCCACACGAGCCCGACTGGTACATTCAGCCATTTCATTAGCGGATCTTAAAGATTTGTGAGCCAGCTGGTGACAGGATGGTTAAGGTGGCTGGGTCTCACATGGCCAACTGTGTTCGAGTACTGGGCGTGGCAGCTTAAAAAACACTGGGCATACACGTGCATACATCTCAAACCCTGAAACAGGGGAGAATGGAGGCAGCCTGCAGCACTACCCTGCCCCATCTGGGGTGCTTTCTCCACTCCTTTCTGTCTTGTGCCAGTGCCTTCGGGTAAACTAAATAATTAAGTAAATAAAGATTTTTAAATATTCTTTATTGTGCATTTATCTAAATACATTTTCTGTGTTCTTATGTAAAATCAATGGTAACAGGCTTGGCATTTAGGAAGATACTGAAACAGATTCTTTTAATTTTTTTAAATTCTTTTACTTAACTTTATTTACTTATTTTAATTTGACCAGAGAGGGACAGAGTGAAAGAAAGAGAGGGGGAAAGTGAGAAAGCAAGCCACTGGGTCCAGGACTCAAACCATAGTTGGCCATGTGGGAATCCAGAGCCTTTAACCACCATACCACTTGCTAGCCCCCTAAAACAGATTCTGAAGTCACAAAATTTTTTTTTTTAAATATTTTATTTAACTTTATTTATTTTAATTTGACCAGAGAGGGACAGAGTGAAAGAAAGAGAGGGGGAAAGTGAGAAAGCAAGCTATCGAGTCCAGGACTCAGACCTTGGTCAGCCATGTGGGAGTCCAGTGCCCTTAACCACCATGCCACCTGCCGGCCCCCAGAAAATTATGACATGATGGACCAGGTAAAAAATGACACAGCTAATAACCGCTCACCTTTTTTTTTTTCTTTTTAAATTTTATTCATTGTCATTATTTTTTATTTTATTGAAGTTGACCAGAGAGAGAGAAGGGAAGTGAGAAAGCAAGCTATCGAGTCCAGGACTCAGACCTTGGTCAGCCATGTGGGAGTCCAGCTGCCTTAACCACCACGCCACCTGCTGGCCCACCCTTAGCTTTTTAAAACTTAGCGTATATTTCCAGATATAGCTGACTGAAACTCATGCCCCAAAATATTTTCATTGTACCCAAGTGATCCAAAATACCTAAAATCCCTTAGTTTCAGTGAACATTATAATGAGTGGTATTTCAGACATTTCACTTAAGGACTGATTTTTTTTAACACCCTCAAGACAAAATTTTAAACAGAAATGAGTTTTCTCTAAGAGGGTTTTTAGCGTAATGAGCATGCATATTGTCAGAGCCCACTCTTGATCATCTTCATAACTGCTCAGTGATTGAGGAATTGTAGGTGTCACCTCAAGGCTTCAGTAAAATGTCTTTCCATCCTGCCGTTGGCTTGAATGTTTTCTTCCAGAGCCAGGAGAGCTGCCCCTCTCTGCTCCTGAGTACACCTTGGAGGAGGATTTCCTCCAGGGCAGCCTCTTTACTAACTGGCACAGAGTGAAATTACAGGTTGAAAATAGCCCTTCTCGTTGCTGCTTCTGGTAAAGGCACATAAGTGATTTGTTAGTTCTTCCGGGTCTCATAAAGCCAGTAGGTGATGGGATCCTGGGGAAGAGGAACCCCGGGATTGCAAAGGGGCAAAAGCAGCCTTTTTCGGGAGTGCTGAAAATGTCCTGTGAGCCTAGTTTCATACTCGTAGAAAAAAGCTTAGAGTGAACGTACCGGTCCCTGACCTCTTCAGAGCATTTTCTCTTAAGTTTGGCATGTGCAGCAGGAAATCTAAAATCCTAGCAGAGATTTTCAACTGAAACGCTTACGTCATTCCTCCCGATGCATTTTCACAAAGTAAAAGAGAAATAGTGGAAACGTGGCCAGTGGTTTTGCAACAGTGGTATTCTGAGGCTGAGGAGCTCATCGTTCCCAGAACACCAAGCCTCCCAGAGGTGCAGTGAGGTCTTTGCCCTGGCTCTAACCACCTGCTGCCTGACAGAGGGGACCAGATTCTCTGTCCTTCCACTTGCAGGAGACATCCCAACAGTGGGACAGGCACTTTCGTTTTCTTCCTATCTTCAGGTTACCCTACACCAATAGCAGTTCTGTGATCCTGCCATAGAAGAGCTAGATGGCATTATAAATTAATCAAACCTGGAGAAAGAAGTGTTTCCTCATGCTTAGAAAAGAAACTTTGAGGCCAGTGGTGGCGTAGTGGTTAAATTGCAGGACTCCCATACAGTCGACCGTGGTTCGAGTCCTGGACCCAGTGGCTTGAAACTCAAGCTCGGCACATGTGCATGCGTGCCCAAAATCCCAAGAAGAGAAAAAAGTAAAAGAGATTGCAACATGGCCATCTCTCCAAGGGCGCGATTTCTTACTTTCTGTCTCTCTTCGGCAAGCACCCGCACCTCATAGTAAAAATTTCTCCAAAAAACTGGAAAAAGAAGAGACTTTAATTACATTAAAAGCTTTTGGCTCCTGTAGGTCAGATGAAAATCAGCCAAAATGATGCAATTGTGCAAATTTCTAAGACCCCAGTTGACATGAACAGTTTGTAAAAGAGAATAATGTGGGGGGGGGCGCTTCAAAAAATTCACAGAATAATGGAATTAAAGTATGAGTTTATTTTAGTGCAATAAGATTTTGAAATTCACGCATAGTCTTTTCCTGGTGTGCGTTTTCCGAGACTTCTTTTTAGAACCATTGTATACAGAAAAACATTTCAAATTACTGGTAAAGAAATGCAGAATTAAAAGTTATCAATTGTATATACCTGACAGCCTGTTATTTATCAATTAGCTTAATCTGTTACTTACTTATAAATTAGCAGAGTCCCTCCTCTCCAGCCCTACCCCATAATCTTTCATGACAAGGGTTCTATAAAACAGAGGTTTACAGACTGCTAGTAAAGTATAATTCCTTTCGAAAATATTTATTTTAGCAGTACATTTCAAAATAATCATACCCCCCTCGACCCAGTGATTGAACTTCTATCTTAATCTGTCCTAAAGCAATCATGTTAAAAATGGGCAAAAGTTATTGATTGTAGTGTCATTGTGGGGGAGGAAGCCAAGAACCTAAACTCTGATAAATGCACTCAGTTAAATATTAGAGCCATTAATAAAACATTTCATCCTAAATTATGATTAATCTCAGTATAATTTAAAGATTTTTTTAAAAGAATGATTTCATTTATCTTTATTTATTTTAATTTGACCAGAGAGGGACAGAGTGGGGGCATAGGTGAGAAAGCAAGCCACCAGGTCCGGGACTCGAACCACAGTTGGCCATGGCAGAGTCCAGCACCTTAACCACCATGCCACCTGCCGGTCCCAACTTAAAGGTTTTTAAATGCAAACAAAATGTTCATGTGCTTGTAATTTTATTATCTAGAAAGTTGAAAGAACAACTAGTGGCAATGTAGAAGATGCATGAGAAGAGGCTGAGAACTAGGGAGACCAGCTAGGAGGTTATGAGAATAGAGCAGAAAGTTTTTGAGACATGACAGCAGATTTTTTTTAACACACTTTAATGACCATCCAGAAATGAAGGATATATTTTCTCTTTTTTTTAAAAAAAAACATTTTTATTCATTCATTCATTCTAATTTGATGAGAGAGAGGCAGAGAGAGAAAGTGGGAAAACAAGAAAGCAAGCCACCAGGTCCAGGACTTGAACCCTGGTTAGCCACGTGGGAGTGTCCAGCAACCTTAACCACCATGCCAATTACAGGCTCCAGAAATGAAGGGTATCTTAATTGCCTCTATGTAAGTGACTGGAAACACAATAATACAAAGGTGAAAGCAATAAGGAGGAGCAGGTTTTTTTGTTTGTTCTGTTTTTGGGTTCTGGCCATAGGGCACTCATGCAGAGGAGGGTCAGGGGATGAGAAGTCACCTGCTGGCCCCCGTTTTGATGAGAGAAAAGAGTTTGATCGAGGAGAGAGTTTGATCTTAGTATTGGAGGCTTGAAGTACCTTACACATACACGGGAAGTTGTCAGTTGTTGGCCCTCTGCTTGTGAGTGAAACTAAGCCATGGGAATACGGAAAAGAGCTGGGAAAAGATTTTTTTAAGAAGGTGACAAAGCAGGACCAGTAGACGGGATGGTGGTTGGCGTGCTGGATTGCCACGTGGCTGACCACAGTTCGAGTCCTGGACCTGGCAGCTTACTTTCCCACTTTCTCTCTCTCATGTTTATAGCAAGTTAAATAATAATGTATTTTTTTAAGGAAGGTGACAAAGCAGGGCCAGCAGGTAGCCTGGTGGTTAAGGCACTGGACTTCCACATGGCCAACCATGGTTCAAGTCTCGGACCTGGCAGCGCTCGCTTTCTTACTTTCTCTCTGTCTCTCTCCCTCGTGAGTGCACATGCCCTATAGCAAATTTTTAAAATAATACAATAAATAAATTTAAATAATTATTTTTTTAAAAAGGTCACAAAGCACCCATCTCTTCATCTGGCCAACCTCTGGTTAAAAGCAGAAGAATTTACTTACTGAAATATTGCTACAGAGTACCTGCAGTCACCAGAGAGAGAGGGAAAATGAGAAATTATTTTCCGCAGGGTCGGGATGGCCACACCCCATGCCCCTCGGAACTGAAGGTATTCACACACACATGCATGCACGTGTGTTTCTCATGCACTCTTACAGGTCCAGGACTTGAACAGTACAGTTGGGTGTGTGGGATCCAGCCGCCTTAACCACCATGCCACAAGCCGGCCCTATCAGTTCATATTTAAAGTGTTTAAGTGAAGAATCCATGGCGATCCACTGACTAAAATAATGTAACTGCTGTTGAGCATGGCAGAGACTCCAAACTGCCGAATTTGGTGTAGTGTCAGACAGGCCAGGGTGTTTGTAATGGGGGTGGATTTTTTAACCAAAAGATTATTAAACTGTAAACAAGATACTCAGCTAACACACCGATAATTCTGTCCTCTAACCCCTGTGGCCTCTGATACCTTCAGTATACTACTTTAACCATTTATTCACCGTTCCCCCTTGAGGTTTCAGATCCCTGAATACCCGTAGGTCAGCGCTTTGCACTGACACACCCAGACGGGGGTTACGGATATTCTAATTAAACTGGACGGCTGTGCTCCTGAGAGTAGCATCTATAAAACTTCAGCTATATGGGAGAAATCTCATTACTGCCATTGATTTATTTGCCTAGTGAGGCTTGTGGCTCCTACAGACAATGAGCAATTTCTGTGTCAGTAGTGTTTGGTTTATCCCTGCAGGTCAAGAACCTGATTATAATTTCTGAATCATTTAGTCTTAAATCATTTCATCTGTGAAATCTGTTTTTGTTTTACTTTGTCACCAAAAAGGAGCGGTTCTTCCAAACAAGTAATAAAAAAAAAATGCTTATCAATTCTTAGTATTTTAGTACTTTTATTTGCATTTTAAAAATGAGAATGTTACAGTAGAAGAGGAAGTTCTGTCTTGTGCAAAACTATGAAAAGCACTTGAGTGGAATTTTTGTTATTTTCCTTTTTTTTTTTTTTGGCCACTCCCAAATAAAAGCCTAAACTATTTTTAGAATCAATTACATATATGTCTTTAAAGAATTAATTTAACTTTATTTATTTATTTTAATTTGACCAGAGAGGGACAGAGCGAAAGAGAGAGAGAGAGAGAGAGAGAGAGAGAGAAAGAGAGAGAAAGCTGCCAGGTCCAGGACTTGAACCACCTTTGGACTTGTGGGAGTCCAGCATCCTTAACCACCACACCAATGCTGGCTCCCCAGTTCTATATCTCAAAAACATATCAGACACGTGGTTGGCACTGGCAGTGAATGCCATTTTAATGTGCTTTTGCTGTATCTTACAGATTTAAAAAGTGGTGGTATTAAACCTTTCTTCAAATTAATTCTTACCCTGTCCAGAAATAGCACAAGTCATTGTTTTTCTCATCCTTGATATTTCAGGCTGTACTTATCCTACGGACTCACAAGTCCTGCACTCCTACAGTTGGTAAAACTGTGCGACAAAAGGAAAACAGGAGCGTAGTACTTTTTACCTTCAGTAGTCTCTGAGGCTGGACTTGGGCTCGGCGTTGCTAGGGCCCTGCCATTGGCATCCTCTTCTGTTAGGTGCGTGGCAGGTTCAGGCTCCCACTGCAGGATTGCGTCCAAGTCCTGGAAGAACTTCATAGTTTTAGAGCTGTCTCCAGAGTTGTGTGCATATCTGACTGTTCTGTATTCATATTTGAGGTTTTTATATTTGGCCCGACACTGTTTCCAATCTCTGTACACTCCTAAGGATCGTAGCCTTTTAGCAATGTAAATAAAGATTCCTTTATTTCTCAGTGTTCCGTAGAGTTGTTTTCGTATATTTTTTTCTGCCCAGACACTTAGCAAAGCTTTCACCTCCTCCTCTGTCCAATGCTTTCCTGCTCCACACTCCATGTTGAAAGTGACCTGGAAATGATTCACTATTTCTAGCCAAGGTTTTTGTTGCCTAGGAAACCAGCCGGCTGGTTGTCAATAAGCTAAAAGGACTGAAAGGATCTAGTTTAACTGGTTCAAGCTGCCTGAGGGAGTAACTTGAGAAATTGCCAAATGAGCAGGCTTTGTGGTCAGAGAAGCCCCAAGCTGAATGATTCCTGACCTTAATCACTGCCACGTTAGGGAAGTTACCTCTGAGACTAAAAGGAAAGAAAATCATTTCTGTGTGTGTGTGTGTGTGTGTGTGTGTGTTTCTTATGTAATTTGCTGTTCTACCACATGGTCATTGACTTAAAAAATTGTTTGGGGGAATGGTTTGCAGAAAGTATTTTTGCCCCGAGGTTTATAGCTAATGTTAATTTTTCTTTTTTTCTGACATGAATCACCTGGCCTTTTTCCATGGTTTCCCTTAAAGACCACATTCTTCCACTGAAGAAAAGAAATACTAAGTCATGATTACTTTCATCTCACTGTGCTTGATATATATATATATATATATATAGTATTTAGCATATCTATTTTAACATAGTATTTAGTGTATTGATAATTCAACAAAATCTTTTTTTCTAGATTGTTTTCTCCTTTTTTTTTTTTTTTTAGAGGTTTTTGCTATTAGGC